TATTATTTTAATATATAAGTACTATGTGTTTATTTGAATTTTTTTCTGAAATAATATTTTTTTAAAAAAAAATTACAAGAATGATCACTGTACAGGATTATTTACCAAGATAGAACCATTTACTGTTCAAGCTCAGAATTCGGTTCCCCGGGAACCGAATTCTGAGCATCAAAATGTAATTTTTTTTGTTTTTTCAACTCAGAATTCGGTTCCCGGGGAACCGAATTCTGAGTTGGTTTTAAATTTTTTTTTTTTTTTCGTGTATGGGGCAAATGTGGGCTGATCTGGGAAGCGGCACGGCCCCAGAACGGGTCGTTCTGCTTAAAGAAACAGAGTGCAAATTCTTTAAGCAGAACGGGCCGTTCTGCTTTTGGAACGGGCCGTTCTGCTTTTGGAACGGGCCGTTTCACATTCAGAATTTGCACTCTGTTTTTTTAAGCAGAACGGCCCGTTCTGCTTTTGGAACGGGCCGTTCCGCTTCCCAGATCAGCCCACATTTGCCCCATACACGAAAAAAAAAAAAATTTAAAACCAACTCAGAATTCGGTTCCCCGGGAACCGAATTCTGAGCTTGAACAGTAAATGGTTCTATCTTGGTAAATAATCCTGCACAGTAATCATTCTTGTAATTTTTAAAAAAAAAAATATTATTCCAGTAAAAAATTCGTGTTTATTTTGGAGAGGATTTCTTTTTCTTTTTCAATTTGGACACAACTAAGACGACATATTTAAGACATCTTGTATGAAGTTCACTCTATACACGTGTTTGGTAAAGAAAATAAAATATATAAGCTTTTAAAATTAGTTGAGGTTCCTATAATAAAAGTCTTGATTATAAAAATGCAATGTTTTTTTTATCACTACACCGGTATTCGTTCAAATACATGTTCACATATATGTGTATGTTTAAAAACTTACTTCAAATATTATATTTTTAATAATTTTTATATAATATAAATTTAATTAATCTATATATAATTTCATATGAATCAAAATTATTTATTTATTTATTAATTTATTTTATTTTAACATATAACATAATATTTAAAATATGTGTAAATATCTATTTTTAGATAACATATTTAGAAAAATTTAAATTATTGTAAAATTTAATACACATAATCTTAAGTATAATATCACATAATTCAACAGCTTGATCAGTTAAATTCGCATTATACAAAAAATTATTGAAATTGTAATATTTGGTATAATTTTTTAAATATGCACCTAGTGTCAAATGAATAAAATGACACCTTAGATAAATTTTTATTAAATACAAGTTTACTAATCCAAATGTTAAATTTGATGATATTAATGATTAGATCAAATATATAAATTGTATTTTAATAATAAAATTATTTGATAATTCATTATATTACTTTATTTTAAAAAATATAATAATATTTAAAATATATGTAAATATTTAATTTTAGATAAAATATCTAAAAGAGTCCAATCATTTAAATTTTGATATGATTATAATATCATCAAATATAATGGTTGGATCGATATTCTACACAATTATTGAAAGTGTCACTTTACTAATTTGACATCATGGTATCAATGAATCTTGACTCATATATATATATATATATATATATATATATATATATATATGTGTGTGTGTGTGTGAGAGAGAGAGAGAGAGAGAGAGAGAGAGAGTAAGAAAGAGGGAGAAAATATTATTATTGACAATTAACCTCCTATATATTAAATAAAAAATATTATTTTGTGCGATAATATTTTTAAAAGTTTTTCTTTAATGAGGGTGTTTGTAGAGATTCTTTTAATTTTTTGTTTAATTCGATTTTTATTTATCATATTTTTATAAATTAAATATTAATATTTTCAAATAAATGATCAATAAATAAATAAGTTTTTTTAATATAAATTATTTATCATAAATCTACAATATAATTTATATGTTTAAAAGTATCTATCTATATAAAATTTAAATGAAATTTATATATTCAAACATTATATA